ACTATTATGTTATCATATTGAGGTACAACATACGATAAAAAATTGTCCAAATATTCTATAAATATATCAATACGGTTTCCAGGAATTCTGTAAACCACACACAAAAGCAAAATGAGTTTCCCGATTCTAAACTCTACACACATAGTTTCAATTCCATCGACATCACAAAAATCATGCAGAACCTGCTTGTAACCTATCCTATCACTTACGTAAACTCCGACGCCTCCTCCTCTCCCTCGCCTATCATTGCGCAAAAAACTAAAACCTGGAATATTTAAAATATGTTTCGGTATATCTTCATGCAGCCAAGATTTGGTAACACCCATTATATCGATATCATTATGTAAAACTAAATCTGTAAAATGGTCAAAGCTAGGAAACAAAGATTGAGTATTCAAATGGGCGATTTTTAACTTATTTTTAGTATGTGTGTTAATCATAATTAATTCTATTTTTTAATTGATCCAACTTAAATTTATATGACAAACATAAGTGACTATTTGCGGTATGATCAGTTGAAACATTAGATTTAAACATTGAAGATGGCTTGATAATGATAACAGTACAACCGTGAGGATTCCTAAAGGGTTTGAAAAGCTCATTTCTATTAAAGCCAATAATAACACTCTGAAGTGTAGAATCAAATGCAGTGAAGACATCGATTTTACTAAACAAGATTCAATAGGACACTTGCTTGGTTTTAAACCACGAAAATTCGCGGCATTTGGTAATCATGAGTCAGATTTTCCAGTCGATATTTTCAGTGTAAATACCATTTGCATAGAATGCAATATTGTGGGTGGATCCTATATTAATGACATGCAAGCTCACGTTATACATTTTTTCCTACAGTGCCAGCAGGTTTTAAAATAGTTGAGACTCCAAGTAGCGTTGACTATTTACCCATCAACACTCGAATGATCGATCAGATTGTTGTTAATATAGTCAGTCAAGATTATCAATTTCGGACGAGAGGTGGTGTCATTAAGACTACATTTGAAGGAAACGTGATTAATTAGTGCAATGGTAATAATGTACAACAAACGTGACAGTTCAATTAGTCAAAGAAACTATATAAGAGGTATACATTTAAAACCGGTCGTCTGTTCTATACAAGCCATCAAACCAATAACAATAAGAAATTGAAAGTTTCTTGAGTCTCTTGGTTTTAAGGTAATTTTTAAGAAATGATAATAAAAATGGATATATTAAATGTCAACAGAGAGCTTATTTTGATAACACTGTTATTAGCTCTGAGAAACGTACTCATCAACCGTACGCATCTACGTCTTTGAATACTAATGATGAAAATCGGATGATTCTATATTTTTCTCATACTTCTAGGCGCCATATTATGTCCGCCATCTTGGATTTTTCAATTCTGCCAATTAGCATCTTAAAACCATCTTCGTAGGTGCTCTCAAATTTTGGGCACAGGCTTGATCGATTTGACGTGGATCGTCTTATATATATACTTTTTTCTCTACTCATGTAACAAATAAGAAAACAATAAAAGTTAAAAATATATATATATTTATGTTATTTATACAACATTACAATAAGAAAAAGAGACAAATAGTTAATACAATAAAATTTGTTATTATTATATCATNCAATAGGACACTTGCTTGGTTTTAAACCACGAAAATTCGCGGCATTTGGTAATCATGAGTCAGATTTTCCAGTCGATATTTTCAGTGTAAATACCATTTGCATAGAATGCAATATTGTGGGTGTGGCTATATTAATGACATGCAAGCTCACGTTATACATTTTTTCCTACAGTGCCAGCAGGTTTCAAAATAGTTGAGACTCCAAGTAACGTTGACTATTTACCCATCAACACTCGAATGATCGATCAGATTGTTGTTAATATAGTCAGTCAAGATTATCAATTTTGGACGAGAGGTGGTGTCATTAAGACTACATTTGAAGGAAACGTGTTTAATTAGTGCAATGGTAATAATGTACAACAAACGTGACGGTTCAATTAGTCAAAGAAACTATATAAGAGGTACACATTTAAAACCGGTCGTCTGTTCTACACAAGCCATCAAACCAATAACAATAAGAAATCTTGAGTCTCTTGGTTTTAAGGTAATTTTTAAGAAATGATAATAAAAATGGATATATTAAATGTCAACAGAGAGCTTATTTTGATAACACTGTTATTAGCTCTGAGAAAAGTACTCATCAACCGTACGCATCTACGTCTTTGAATAGTAATGATGAAAATCGGATGATTCTATATTTTTCTCATACTTCTAGGCGCCATATTATGTCCGCCATCTTGGATTTTTCAATTCTGCCAATTAGCATCTTAAAACCATCTTCGTAGGTGCTCTCAAATTTTGGGCACAGGCTTGATCGATTTGACGTGGATCGTCTTATATATATACTTTTTTCTCTACTCATGTAACAAATAAGAAAACAATAAAAGTTAAAAATATATATATATTTATGTTATTTATACAACATTACAATAAGAAAAAGAGACAAATAGTTAATACAATAAAATTTGTTATTATTATATCATATTATATCATTTTAAGATAATATATAAATTACTTAAAAATTTAATGTTATGTTTGATTATCATCTTCATTGCCATCATTATTTTCTTGAGTTGCTAATTTATATTTTACAACAGCTGCATATGGTAGATAATCCAACAAATTAGAAATAACAAATTGTTTTAGTCCTATCTCCACCATTTTCACGCAAAAATTGTCCAAATTTATAGTTTCACTTAAATAATTACTACATAATGATGCACCACGGCGATGTTTTTCATAATCCTCCTCCAACTGTTTAATTTTTTCTTCAGAGAAGCAGTAATTCATGTCATAATTAGATGCGTGAAGACAATCTATTGCCACACAATCTAGCTCATTCATCAATCTCTTTACGGCTGACTGGAGGTCCTCAGCATCGGTCCAATTTTGACTAGCATAATGCATCCACATTTTCAATAGTTGTTCTATAAATAAATAAAAAA